CCCCAAAACCCCAAAACCCCATTAAAAGTTTTTCTTTTTAATAAAAGGAAAATAATTTAATTGATAACTAACGAATATATAAATAAAAATATAAAAACCTTAATGAATTATCTATAGCATAAAGCATACTCAGACTAATTGAATCCAGTGAGCAGAGCCAATTACTACATGAGCAACTATATGAACTAAAAGAGAAACTCATATGTAAATTTCAATCCAAAGACTTAGTCATCATACTAGATGGCTAATTTATCTGAGGAATCTGAAAGCTATTAGTAAAACCAAGTAATAATTTATCATTTAATTAACTCAAACTTATATAGCCTCTCCCAGCTTAATTCATTCAAAAAAAGCAAAAGCAATACAATAATAAGTAAAACTTTTTCAAAGTAGATTAGGCCCATAGCTAGTCTCTCTATGAATAATCGAAGGCTTCAATAAGATCATCTCCAAATAAAGCAGATAATCAAGTAATAACAAATTCAACACCTTATAAAAGCAAGGCACAAAATGTCAAGACTGAGCATTCCATTGATTCTCTCTGTGAATAAACATTTAGCAATGTAGGTGGAAGTGGATAGTAGCTTAACAGCAAACAATATATTCAGAATATACCATCAAATAATATTTAGATACATGATAAGAGAGTCTCATTTGAAAGTCTTGAGAGAAGTAGATAGCAAGACACCTATTAGAGAGATAGAACGCTAACAAACTAATCTATTACAGATGAGGAAGATAAGATTATAATCGAAAAAATAAGGCAGCTCATAAATTATAAGCAAAAGTCTAGTCAGTTTTCTGAAAAGCTTATTAACTTCCTAGAGCTATTTGATGATTCAGCCTAGACTCTTTAAAATGATATGAGTCCTAATAACCCTCAATCTCAAGTTTAAACATAATCTTAAGATGAATCTGTCCACATATATGAGCAGACAATAAGGAGATAATCAGTTAATAATACAAATCATTAGTATTCATAAAATGTAAGTTATATGCAATCTCCAACAAAAAATCTATCAGAAAGCTGCCGAAGATTATCAATTAAGATGAATAATACAAGCTAAGCAATAGCCAACTAAAGAGAAAGTTCATAGAATAAAAGATAGAGCCAAATTATAGATATAGTAAATAAAAAGACAGAATTTAAATCTGAATACTATGAACTCCTTAGATAAATGGATATCTAAAGAGAGCAAATTTCTTCCAAGATACTTTAATAGTATATTGCAGAAAAACAGCCAAAGTCTGAAAAAATAAAGGTAGGGGTTGCTCTTCTATACATAATGGCTACCATTGATGATCAAATAGTTCTCACAAGTGACAAAAGTCAGCTAGAAGATCATTCATGGGAAAATGTTTAAAGAGTATTATCAAGCTAAGGTAGAGTTTTATTCAATCTTAAGAAAATCAAGGATTATACAGAAAAAGGGCATATGAGCAGATAGTATTTAAAGCTTGCAAAAAAATATGTTTAAGGTTTGGAATTTAATCCAATGATCAATATAAATTCTTAGATTTGCCATTAACTTCTTAAATTTTTAAAGAGCTGCATTGATTTCATAAGTTTCGTCAGCAAAACATACAGTCATGAAAACAAAGGAGGGTATAGAAGCCAGTCAAAGAAAAGAGAATAAAGTTAGAACTTTGGAGCAAGTTCTGGAGTAAATGAGCTTTCAGTCATGAAATAGTAGCAAGAAGCAACTTAGACACTAAAGTCTCTTCATTCGCAATTGATATCACCTTCCAATGAAATGAATAGCATACAATACCCCAATAGTCAAATGGTATCACCTGCGAAAAATAAACTAGCTGATCTTCAAGTTAGGTTTGATTAAAGCCTAATAAGAAACTAGTAATTTAAATAAGTCTTTTTATTAATTTTAGGAAAAAGAAAAATTCTATTGATTTTTAGACAAAAAATAATAAAGCGGTGATTTAAAATAAGGTATCTACACAGCTATAGCTTTTGGATTAATCCAGAAGTCAAATTGTAAGATTAATAGTAAAATGTCATATCATTCCATTATAGAGATCTAAGTTAAATAATTATATATCTCAAAAGATCTAGCAAAATGATAGTATGCATTAACAGAACAACATTAGATGACATATAGTTTTAGACCAAGTTATATATAAATAAATGTTTTTATTAATATAAAGAATTTCATGCTCTATCACTAAAAGTTGCTTTGGGGTTTTGGGGTTTTGGGGTTTTGGGGTTTTGGGG